TTTCTGATTGGGGTTAAAACGAATCTAAATTGATAGTTCATCAAGCAAATTTGAAACTTACCTTTACCTGAAACGACTCCATTGCTAAAATCAATTGACGAGAAAAAGCTAGGATCCAAACTCCTCAATCCCCCCGTACGCAACAATTATCTAAATTCTATTTTCTTGTATGAATTACTATATTAGTATCTAAACTTGTATAAAATTGAACAAATAGACAAATGCGTAGAGATTAACTACTATCCACTAACGGTGGATAAGAAAATTACAGGATCACCTTATTTTTAGAAATGTTTATTTTTTCCTCTTATATATTCACATATTGTTAATATTTAAATAAAAAGAGTATTATATGGTAACTTAGACTCTCTCAATTAATTATACAAGTTTGATTAGAACATTTACTTGGTTTACCAAAAATAAAACAGGATTCTTTCACGCTTTCTTTGTCATTATTTTCACGCTCCTTATTCTTTCATGCTTTCTTCGCCATTATTTTCACGCATTGACATACACCTTTAAATCAATTTGAGACGATCATCAATAGTAATGTTTTTCCCATAAAAAAATTATTCATAACTTATTAAAAAAATTATTTACTACTTATTAAGTCTTCTTCGCAACATGAAAAAATGTTTGGCTCTGTCCTTGTTTGGCTCCCTAATTCCAGCAATTCATTTAGGGCATATCTTGTGCCTCTTCGCTTCTTCTTTTCAGGAGAATAAGTGATAGAGTATATCGCTAAAAAACTTCTGAACATCCGAGCTTGTAATTATACAGTAAAACGTGTGGAAGATCAATTGCTAATAAGTCTTTAAAAAATTAATGCATAATCATGTCCAATTATAAATGCATTATAACACAACATTTGGATTTTTCTAACCATGATTGAAGCTAACTTGCATGTCAATCTCAAGTCAAAATTATCCATTCACATCTTGGCTTTCAAATATTTTTCCATTTGGTTAATAGTTTATTTTTTCGCTTCTTAAACTGATGGTATCTATATTTTTCGTTATGCTGCAGGGTTATAAACCTCCCTATTTGTTTTACCAGATATTCATACAAGCATGTTTGTGGGGTTATAAAAAACTCCTCAACAATTAGCATTTCCTTTTTTATATAATTAGATCGTAACTAATGTAAATTTTATTTATTAATAAATAAACTTGCACATAAAGTTCATAATAATAACTAAAGCACTAAACAAAATTATAATTAAAGCACTAATATTTTCTTGAAATGCACCAAATCATTCTCTGGATTAATCGTTACCCTCTCGAGTATGTTCAACCCCCCTCCCCCCCCGACCTCATCGACGCCACCTTGAGGAAGCCAGCACTGAGGCGAACGCCGCCTAACCCGGCCTCGAGGCGTCATGACCCTAATCCCACGTACCCTACCCCTCGGTCTCGAAGCGTCGTG